TATATGAACTGGGTTTCTCCCGAGGAAAGTTCGATATGCAAGGACTACTTTGAGTGAAGTTGAAATTCACAAATCTTCGCGAAGCTGAGGATCTGGGATACACCATCTTGTCTGGGTTTTGTATACCTCCTCAGAAGCAATGCTAAAGCCTTTGCATTGTTATTTGAAGGTCAATTTCGACAAGGAACTTGAGCCTGGGTTATCATCCTTGAGGAAACAAATGACCGAACTCTAAGTGGCTCTCTCGTGGTTCATTGCATGCTGCTGAAACTTTCCATTATGCTTACGAATCCATTCATCTCCGAAGAAGAGTCTGAGTTCCGAGCCCTTAACCTTTTGAACCAAATAATGGATGTTGTTCATCAAGAAAATATACTGTAAAGCCTCATCCTTATATAGTTGTGGCTTCCTGTAAAGATTGGATTCCAAAGAACTTGTGATTGATCGAAGTCGACAAGCCATGGGACAAGAAGTTGAAAGTGACACGTTTGGCCCATCATCTGGCTCAGTAACTTGATCCGAAACACCAGCATGTTGATCCTTAAGAAGTAAATTGAGGGTGGTGCAATATTCAGGGAACATCCTGATATAGTTCATTACATATTTATTGAGATGGTGAATACCTCCACCAGGGAAGGGGTATAAGGATCCATTAGAAGAAATAGCAGCTTGAAATGCCTGAAATGCTGCTATTGAAGAGTCGGCCAATCTTTCCAGAAGCTCATGGAACTGGAGCCGAACAAAAGAACTAGCCTCACCCGATAACAATGTATCTATGTCTCAGAGAAGATCTTCCAAAGTCTCGTACATGTCAAGAAAACGAAGCAGCTTTTCAGGTTGATGAGGCCCCATTGCTACGGCTTCTCCTAAGTTCAAGAGGCAAAGAATTGTTGCCTTTGAGATCTCAAGAAAACAAAACGAATTAACAGATCCAAAGTCCCTAAGACCAGATCACATAACCATTTTTCACTAGCAAGATAGACTCGGACAATTATCTTCGTGGACCAGGTCCATTTATTCATCTTGCTACTCATGCTAGTCCATTCCATTGTCAGGACATCTTCGACGCTGAGTTTCTCTTTCAAGAATGGCAAAGTACTGCTCCAGTTCTTCTTTCCGTACACCAATGAAAGCTTCAAAAAATTCCGGACCATAATTTGAAGTAAACATAACCTTTGCAATGGACTTGATATCAGGAATTACATCTGCATGCACCAAATCTACAATGTACTCACCAATTCCATCACTAGAGCAGTTTTGGCTATATGTTTCCTCGGCTGGTTCATCTTCAACTGAAACAAATGACTCATCGTAAACAATGTCCCTTCGAGTAGAACGAGAAGACATGTTTGGGCTCAAACTGTAGCCGATGCTGAACAAGTATATGAATAAGCTCTTCCTCAAGCCTATACATTGCAATCTGCAAAGCACTCGTTGCACGATTAAGAAGTTCCTTCTGCTTCCTATTTTCATGCACAGATAACCCTCGTAAACCATCAACCAGTGTCTGAATTTCATCAACAGCTTTGATATACTTGGAAGCTTCTCTAGGTCCAGAATCCCATATCATCATTGGATCTGATTCCCAACTCATAATCTTTCTCTCTGCTTGTTTGAGTCGCCCCTCAACATCCACAAACCCCCTTCCTCCCTTGCTATTATTCGAAGTTATCATTGACAAATGAGCATCAAGATTGATAAGGATTTTCTGCAAATCATCGCTAAGATTCTTAGTTGCTCCTAATGCCTTGACAATATGATGAGCTGCAGAAACACATGAAGATCTCCTTTGTATGTCGGGATGGTAGATTGATATCCGTCCATATCAAAACAAAGAATACACAAAAGAAACCGAAACAAACCAATCGAGTAATCGACTCAACACCAAGTAACTTCCTAGGCAATCAAGCCAAGCCTTTCAACTGACCGATGATATAGAACCTAAACCATATACTAGCCAAAACCATGATTCGGATTCAATAAATCCCGGATATGATCAAGAGCAGATCAACACAACCGGATGCTTTAGAATTCGAAGAATTCAATCAAACAGTTTACAACTTGACAACTTCACGCTCCAGCCAAATCAAAAGTGTCATGATTCGGATTTAACAAACCCCATAAACAATCAAGAGCAGAACACCACGATCCGATGCTTTCGAATTCAAAGAAATCAATCAAACGGTTTACAGCTTGATTAATCAAAAGGATGCTGATTTGAATTGAATGAACCACACATGCAATCGGGAGCAGATCTACACAAATGGATGCTTTTCGAATTCAAAGAAATCAATCAAGCAGTTTACAACTTGATAACTCCCCACCCCAGATAAATAATGATCCACTTAGAACATTAGTTGAACAAAGATTGAGCTGAAGTGACAAAGGGAAGCTTGTACTTAGCCATTTATAAAATGAAATTTAATCTTAAGGATCACATCACAAATAATAGTTTAAAAAATTCAGAAGAAAAGGAAAAGAAACCAATCGAACCTTAGAACTTGTTTTCCTTGAAATCATTGAAATCCAGCAGCATCAACCCAGAAAAAGAATAAAGGCAAGCGAACATCAAATGGAGGGCTTTGAAAGAGCCCAGATAGATAAAGAGGAAAATTTAGTGGGAAAATGCAGAAGTCGGATTTTCTTTCATTCCTTCTTAATTTTCTACTTTTAAAATATGATTATTGGACTTTATTTAATGCTATTTTCCATTTTCGAAGGAGTTGAATTCTCTCTCTCTCTCAGTTGGCTGGAAAATTTTGAAGTCGTGGGTTTGACCTTTAGCAGCTCTTGTTTGTCAATAGTCAAGGCTTGTCTTCACCTATCATCTCCCGAACGACGTCGTTTAAAAACTACTTTCAATTCCATTATGCCAAGTCAGCATTTGCTATCGATTAATCGTATTTTTGTAATTTTTTTAATGTAATAATCGTGTTTAACTTAAAAATTAACAATTTAATTCTGACTCTTGAAAATTGCACTACGAAGAATTATGTACAATATGACTCAACACGAACACAAAAGTTATTACATAGCAAATCACTTTTACAAATCGTGAAAGATCTCATGCAATCCAAATGAATAATATAAACACAAACGTGCAAAAATCCACGTAAAACAAATTCTATTATATCCATAGTTTTACTATAATTTATAACGTAATTTTCAAAAAAAAAAAAAAAACTCTAGTCGCTCTCTCTTTTCCCTCCCTCCTTTCTTTTTTTCTTTAAAATTTATGTCTTTTTTTATAGATCAAATCAATTTTCTTATTCTTTAATCTTATTTAATCGACGACATTATCAGTTTTGATACTGATTGTCAATCGTCGGTTGTCTTTTTCTTTATTTTTTTTAAGAATAATTACGTTTTAATGACATGTTTATCTCTACCTTTATGACAGTTTATCTTCATCTTTTGGCACTTTTCGGTTTTTTGGCGTTGTTTTCGTTTATTTTTTTTCAGGTTTAGATTTGACATTGTTACGATTGATCAAGATGACACTTATTTGTTATCATGTTGATCTTCCCTCATTTGGACCATCGAATTAATTTGGATACGCTTTGTGTTCGTTGATAGTTTTCTCAAGTCGTTTTGACTCTGATTTGGAATTTATCAGTGGTATTTTAATAACTTCATCACCTTTTGTGTTTTGTTTTTCGATGCAGTCAGGTTTGCTCGTATCTTTATTTTTTTGAGTATTTAAGTTAGATTTTTTTAACATTTTCCTTATTTGGTCATTGCATGATCTAGGTGGCTATTTTTTGTATTAATGATTATATGAAAATGTCATAATTATAATTTAGTTTACGTTTACATTAATACATGTAAATATTCATCGTAATTTTGGATATTTTCTACTTTTAATAAAAGTAGCCTCTTTCTATAAAAAAACTATAATTTCTATAACGTAGGCTGCAGGAATCAAGTAACCTCTGTAATAAAAGGATTGTTGTTATTTCTTGAGGATTCGATTTCGAGCACCATATATATCAGGGGTGTGAACTTTCTATATATCTCAAATGGTTGAGATACTAACCACAATGGTTAAAGAATTATTGTTATTCTCTGATGTTGAATGCCAAGAGTGTAACATTCAATCTCAAATGGTTGAGAATTATCCTCGAACATGTATTACTTTGTACTTACCTGATTAATAAAAACTATAATCAATTAATTTTTAGGGTAAATTGTACTAATGGTCAATATAATTTTATGATATTTCACTTTGGTCATCAAACTTTCAAAATTTGTGTTACAATCGTTAAATTTTTAGTTTTTTTATTAAATTTCATTAAAAAAATTAACGTGACCCCTAAACTCTTTTAAAAAATCCCATAATATTTTAAATTAGTAGTGATCACAGAAGTCAAATTTATGATTAAGTTTTGAAAATACATTTTAGACAGATCAAACGGTGAGATCCTCAACTTTTATAAAGCGTGTAAACAGCCGTACGATTTGTACACGTGTCAAGGTATGGCCACAGGACCATCAAAATTATTTCTTTTCCTTTTGCACCCAAACATTGTCCCCCACCCCATTCTTCCTTCCTTCAACCTTCTCCTTTCAGCTTCGACTCCAAACCCGTTTACTTTACCTCCCAAACCTTACCTTCGGATCCGAACCTCAATTTTGCTCCTCTGTTCGTTGAAAATTTCGCACACTAGTTCGATCACTTTATCGCTCTCTCTCCATCTCTATCTTCTAGCTAAAACAAAATCGCCCAATCTTTCAAACCCTAATAATTTTTCCAACAATTTGACACTCTTTCAATGATCGTTTATCGAGCTTCATTTTAATGTCTTCGCCACTCCATTGTAAGTTCATTTCTCCTCCGTCTCTCTCTCTCTCTAGGTACCCTAATTTAATTTTTCCACTCTTCAAGTATTTTTTTCATATGAGAAGCTGAATCGATGCTGAGGATTTGATCTTACATGGCTGGGCAGCTGCTTTGTTTTTATTTCGTTTTAGTGGCGGGGATTGCTTGCTGCCGTTTCCATATTCATTTATAGGCTAGGTTAGAAATGTGCGATTTTACGGAATTTTTGAGTTTAGTGTCGGTTTGTTTTCCGAGAAAAGGGAGGGGCGTCAGGGATCTTCATCGAGGGGAATTGCGAATTTTAAATTGAGCTGAGGTTGCAGTAGTTCTTTTCTTCCTGCTCGATGAAAGGTTAATGTTATGGTTTTCATAAATAATTAGTTTCAAGTTTTTTTCGTTTGTAGTGAATTTATGTTCGTACTGAACTTGTAGTATTCTGCTTTGTTGCTTCTTGAGTGTCTCCTTTTTTGTGTGTTACTTAGAGTTCATTGACATTGATATGGTAGCCTTTGATGATTGGTTTTTTGTTAATTGGGAGGTATCTTTTTCCTTTGACTGATACGTTCTTGGTTTTATTACTACCTTTCTGTTGTGGGTATCTTTATGTACTTGGTGTACCAGACTGCTAACTTCTCATATGTACGTCTGAATTTATTGATTTAATGAATCTACCTTTCATTAATTTTCATCAATATGAGGCTTGTGTTTCATGGTGATTATCGAGTGTAGTACATAAGTTGACTAGAAAACAAAGAGTGTAGTACATAAGTTGACTAGAAAACAAAGATGAACTTTGGCATTAGATTAGTTAGCTATACCAAATGAAGAAAAGAAAGGTGGAACAATTTTCATGAACAGATAGTTGCCTTAACTTGCTTTAACTTCTGTTTCCATGAAGAGATGATATATTGGATTTTATCCATGCAGGAAACAGTACAACCAGGGTGAATGTTTAAATGTACAGAAGAGGTTTGTTTCTAATTATACTTGGATTTAAAGAAGGATTCTTATGGTTGTGTGGCATATAATGGAACTGAAAGCATGTTAAGACTTAACTTAATTCTTCTTTAGGCTCTAATTTTTCTCTCAAACCTTTAGCTGCTGAGTATTTTTGGCTTGGATTATCTCTATGCCTGGCAACGAAGTTGGAGACAGGATCCATAATTTCCTTGGACAAGAGGGTTTGTCCCAAGGCCAGCATCATTCGCCGTTCCTTGACTCTGCCTGGCCTGGGTTATGTAACAATCTATGGGTTGGAGGCCAGAGACAAGTTGGTGGACCTCTTGTTTCCAGTTTGAAGAATTTTAGTAGACATCAATTGGGTAATATGAAGACATCTTGATTGTCAAGTTTCAGCTCTCTTCTGTTACTATAATTTTGATTTTAGCACATGGTTGTAGCATGCTTCCTAACACTGCTTAATTGTCTTCATTTTATTCTTTTGGCATTAGCTGAGTCTGACAGAGGACATAGTGGTCAGTCTTCTAGTCAGCAGCAGGACATGAACTTCACTCACTCAGGTTTGAGCCCTGAGATAGCTAGAAGTCAATTACAAAACCAATCACCAAATGGAAATGACTATTTTCTAGGGCATCAGGCTCTTCAGGCAAGGCAGAATGAAACAAACTTTTTGGGAGTGGATGCAACATCTAGATGCTTATCACCTCTTGATTCACAGATGGGAAATGGTCCTGATCTTCATAAGAAAAATTCCCCAAGATTGGAATCTACTGAATCCCCTGTAAATTATGATTTTTTGGAGGGCAACAGCAAATTAGTGCACAGCATTCTGGCATGATCCAGCCTTTTTCCAGGCAGCAATCAGGGATGAATGACATGCAGCTATTACAGCAACAACAACATGCTATGCTTAAGCAAATGCATGAATTACAGAGGCAACAACTCCTGAAGCAACAGTTTCAGCTACCAGATGCAAGTCAGTTGAGTTCCACAAGTCAGGTTTCCTCTACTGTAAAACAGGGATTGGGTAGCCTTTCACCAGCTCCAATCAATGGCTTTCCTCTCCATGATGCTTCAAATTATTCTTGGCAGCCTGAGCACATGACACCAAATGCAAATTGGCTGCAGCATGGTGCATCTCCTGCCATGCATGTATCCTCTGGAGGATTTACTTTTTCCCCTGAGCAAGGGAAGGTGTCTTTGATGGGTTTGGTTCCTCAACAGGTTGATCAATCATTTTATGGTATCTCAACCAGTGGTGCAAGAGGAAACCCATATCACCATTCTTCTGTCCAAATGGATAAACCTTCAATGCAGCAGGTACCAGCCAGCAGTAATTCTTTTCCAGGTAATCAGTATGCCGTATTTACAGATCAAGTTGGCTTGCAAGATGGAACTTTGGTTTCTAGACAGGGTGATCAGGGTAAAAAAGTGTTTGGGGCTGCAGATACTGGATTTCATTCAGAAAAATTACAGGAAAAGACTATCCAGCCCAAAAACATGGCGATGCAGGAGTCTTGTGGAAGGCAAGAACTTCCTAGTACATCAGAAATATCCCTGGACAAGTCAACAATTCAGGCTGCCCCCTCACAGAGTGTGGCCACGCTAGATGAAACTGAAGAAAAGATTTTGTTTGGTTCAGATGATAGTGTGTGGGATATCTTTGGAAGGAGCACCAACATGGGCTCATTGTTGGATGGTGCGGACTCTTTTGGGGCATTGCCTTCTTTGCAAAGTGGCAGTTGGAGTGCACTTATGCAGTCTGCTGTGGCAGAAACATCTAGTAATGATTTAGGGGTACAGGACCAGTGGGGTGGTTTAGGTGTGCAGAATAGTGAACCTCCAAGTGGGAATATGCCATCACAAAGTGTCAATGATGACGGCAAACATCAATCATCTTGGGCTAATAACAGATTGCAGACTGGCTCGACATCGAACACTAAACCTTTTCCAATGTCTAGTGATGCCAATATCAATCTTGACTTTTTCAGCATCCCTGGGATTCAGCAATCAGGAGTCCAGATTGCAAATGAACAGAATGAGAAAATGCATAATGATTCATCTCAGAAATCTATTCAACAGTTGACAGGAGAAAGAAGCAAGTGGTTAGATTGCAGTACTCTACAGAAGCCTGTAGCTGAAAGTGTGCAATTCTTTGGAAATGTTGCCCACTCTCCTAATTTGCAAGTGGGTGCAAAGAGCATTTCAGGTCACCAACAAGGCATAGCTGTCCACGCTATGCGTGTACAGCCACACAATAAGCCAAATGGTTGGAACTTCATTGATTCTTCACCACATAGTTGTAATGCTATATCAAAGAGTCGGGATATTGATTGTGCATTGCAACATTCTCAGAATAGTGATCATATAGGTGCCCTGCATGAGGACAAAGGTCATGGTTCTGCTCTTGATCATTCCGTTCCTAATGCAAATATTGAGCAGGGAAATTTCAGTTCCGGCTTGAGAAGCCCACAGGCGAATAAGGAAGGTTCTGACTTGGACAATGTTGCTGCAGCAACAGATTCAAGAACCACGAGGGTCACTGAAAGCAGCCAGCAACTTCCAAACAATCGTAATTTTAATCTCAAGAGAAGTACTGATTCTAAATTAAACTCTGTACAAAGCAAGGTTCAAGAAAAATATCGGCAAAATCAGGATAAAAACCATCAAGATTTTGATTCATCTGAAAATGATTGCTTGGACAAGGGAGCGAATGAAGCAAATATGTTGGAGGATCACAGTGTCAAAGAAACATGCAATGACAGTTTTCACCCAAACACATTCCACCATTCTTCTACCAGTGGCATGAGAGACAATGGCTGGATGGATGTAAATGATTCACGTGGAGGAAAACAGAAGTCATCTGTTCGCATTAGTCATAAGCTTTTTGGAATCCGAAAATTTCAGTATCATCCTATGGGGGATCTGGATATGGAGGCTGAACCTTCATATGGACCTAAAAGTGTTGCACATTCACAGGCAATATCCCAACATGTTTCACAAGGATTGAAGGGGCATGACCAAGGATACTTTGGGCAGTCAAAATTTACTGGTCATGCTTTTAGAGAGTCTTTAGAAACTGAGAAGGTAATTTTCGGTTTGAAATTTTCAAATATTTTTCTGTCCTCTGTATAACTGCTGAATTTTTACTTTGCTTTTTTAGAATAATATAAGCCTTTGGAGGACTAAATAATATTTTATTAATTTTCTCCTGCTTAGGGGTGTTTTCCTAGCATTCAACTAGACGAGGTACCTTCAAAAAGCTCAAACCAGGGATCTACTTCTGACAGATCGTTTGTTGGTTCTGTGCCAAACAAGACAGCTCCAATGAGGTAGTTGAACATTTGTACTTGTTTTTTGGCTTGAGTTGAATTTCTTGCTTTTCTCAAAATTTTTAGCTACAAATAATACTCTTTGGCTGTTAAAACTATGATAGTAAAATTGTATTCATCACCTTATATTTGCAATTTGATTTTTATTGTTATTGTACTGATTTCCTTATTTACTTTTTAATGTGCTCCCTATATTTCAAATTTTCAGTCAAAACATGCTGGAGCTTCTTCCTAAGTTTGATCAGCCAAGAGAACATGATACTGCAACACACTTAAGCTCGTCCAAATGCAATCTATCATCTGAAATGCCTGATACAGAAACTTCTGATGGATCTGTAGGCCAGACTCAGCATAACAGGCCTTCTAGTTCCCAAGGTTTTGGCTTACAATTAGGTCTTCCATCTCAAAGGTTTATCATTCCTTATCGTGCAATCTCATCTCAGAGTTCTCCCCATGTAGTTAATTCTCTAAATTCAGTTCACGACTCTTCTGGGGTAGGAAGGAAGGACCATGCATGGTTGGATCCAAAAACTTCTGTTCAGTCCCCATCTCATGGACCATCCTCTGGAGACATTAGGAATAATGTTTCAAGTGTTTCTGGTCAAATCAGTAATAAGTCTTCACCGCATAATATCCAGGGAAACTTTTCTACCGGTTTTACCTCTGATTACCATTTAAAAAGTCATCTTCAAAGCCAGCATGCTACTAATGTGGGTAGTCAGGCAACACCAAGTGAAACTATGGATGCACCTTTTGGTGGGTTGGCATCTCTTGCCAAGCAGACTGATGACTCTTCTGAGAGAGCTCAAACTAGTCAATTGCGAAGGAAACCAGCACCCCGCATACCTAAATCTGCTGCGGATAACAATCTTGCTTCTTCAGAGACTTCTCGGCCCACTAGCAACCAAATCCATGCAAGGGATCCAGGCCAGCAGTTTCCAGTTTTGGAGGCTCTGCCAGCTTCACAACCATCTGGTACATCTGAATCTCCAAAGCCAGGTGCTTTTACCAAAATGCCTGATGTGTGGACCAGTGTTTCAGCCCCACAACATTTACTAGGAGGAAAGTCGTCTTGGGACTCCCAAAATTTGTTTAAGTTCCATCATCAATCAAATATTAACTCTGAAACAACTCCTCCTGGAACAAAGAAGCTGGACAATCAAATTGCCGAGGCAGGAGGTTGTGGTCAATCTGAGTTGCCTGCTGGCTCTGCTAAACCACAGAGCTTTGTTGGAGAGGAGCAACCAGCAAAAGATCAGCAGTTATTGGCAGATAATGGTGCCAGCCCAAATCATGCAGCTATGCTCCGAGACATTGATGCTCTTGGAAACTCTTTGAGACCAAATAATACAGCACATCAGGACCATTCCTTGTTGCATCAGGTGCCGTCCATGAAAGATATAGAGATTGAACCAAGTGATAGGAGCGTCAAAAGATTTAAAGGCCCAAGTCTGGACTCCGCTTTGGATACTCAGCAGGTAAGTTCTGAAGGGGCAGAGCAGTTATCTTATGGATCTGATACTATGATGAAAGATGCCCTTGCCAATCATCTGTCAGCTCCTAATGATATTGTGGCATTTGCTCAGAATGGTTCCCAACATTTCTCTTGTGCTAATAATTCAGCTGCTCATCTCAAGGGTGGACACTCTCAAATAAGTCCCCAGATGGCTCCATCCTGGTATGATCGGTATGGCACATTTAAAAATGAGCAAATGTCCTCTCTATATGATGCTCGGAAAATTGCCATGGTGAAGGCTGCAGAAAAAGCATTTATTGTTGGTATGCCTTCTGACAGTTCGCATCCTCTTCATTCAAGTGAGCAGGTTATTGCCGCTGCTGATCCTGGTCAGCTTGATAGTGCCTGTAAAAACTCAGAGCCAATATTGACTGAGCATACCTCCTCTCAGTCGTTGCCTCCTGATATCACAAATCAGGATTTGGTGGTTGTGAAAGCAAGAAAGCGTAAAAGTATGGGATTTGAGCTTCTACCATGGTACAGAGAAGTGACACAAGTTTCTCAAAGATCTCAGAACATCAGGTGATTGGAATAAATAACTCATTTTCTGCAATTACTTTTAGCAGTATAGATGTCAATGACCGAAAACACTAAATTATTTTCTACTACTGTTACCATACAAAAATTAGTTGCTCTCTTCTTTCACTATATGTTTTTCTTAATTTTGGAATTATATTGTCGTTTTCTGTTTATCACAGTGTGGGAGAGGTGGAATGGGCACATGCAGCAAATCGATTGATTGAGAAGGTGTGTTCAGTTTTTAACTGTTTTATTTTGATGTTGTCTTATTCTTTCTTAGAACTGTGACAGTTCTTAGCTTAAAGATGATCTAATCACAGGTTGAAGATGAACCTGAAACGATTGAAGATTGGCCACCAGTGGTTAGATCAAAAAGACGGCTCATCTTGACAAGGCAGCTTATGCAGCAACTACTTCATGCTCCTCCAAGAGCATTTCTTTCTGCAGATGCTAGCAAAAACTATGAGACTGTGACCTATTTTGTTGCCAGATCAGTCTTAGGAGATGCATGCAGCATAGCATGTACACTGGAAAGTGATACTGCTATTCGTCCTGACAGTGAAAGCACGTAAGAACATTTTAATATTGTTTGAAATCCTTGGATGCTGTTTTACCGGATCTCATCTGCCGATCATTGTTGCTATTAACTGATACTATCTGATTAATTTTTTTTCCTTTCAATTTGCTTTTAGCCTCTTGGAAAAGCTTAAGGAGAGAAACCAGTCCACCTTAAAGGCAGCAGAAGATTTTATCATCAGAGCAAAGAAACTTGAAAATGATTTACAGAGGTATCTCACATCTAGTTCTCGCCAATTTCTTTTATGCATGACATTTCTTTTGGTAGTCTTTTGCAACATTGTTATTAATGGCTGAACACCTTGCTTATGAATTACGAGGTTCAGTGTTTTGTGGTAAGAACTTCCCTCACAGCCCACCCATTAAATTTGATTATTTTGTTGTTATGGATAATGCCGAGGTGTCATCTGTCTGTTAATTTATTGGTGACGTGTGGTCTTAAACAAGTAAAATTATGCGGAAGGGCTTCCTTGTCAGTTCTGTTGATTGTATTGGTTTCTCTTTTCTGTTAGTATTTCCCAGGATAGGCTCATTAATCCTTTGGATATTTAGGTGCATTCTGCCTGTTGAAAGTATGCTGCTGCATATGTTTCCGGTTATTTTGCTTGGTACTTTGACCCAAATTAGGGCTTCTAGCCCATTAGCATATAATTATTATAGCTTTGGTTTTCCATGGCTGCCCCTCATTAATTATTTTGCCCTAAGCTCTTTTACGACCGTGTCTATTATCTCATCTTTGAGTGTTTCCGCTTTGTTATGCAGTCTGGACAAGAGGGCCTCAATCTTGGACCTAAGATTGGAATGTCAGGATCTAGAGAAGATTTCTGTCATCAATCGTTTCGCCAGGTTCCATGCCCGGGGGCAAGCTGACGGGACTGAAACCTCATCGTCCTCCGATAATTATCACAAATTCTTCACCCAGAGATATGTAATCGCTCTACCTATGCCCCGTAATCTCCCTGACAGAGTACAATGCCTTTCCCTTTGATAATTACTTGAGAAGATTTTTCCATCTTTTTTTTGGCCAATTATCTTCTCCTCCCTCACGCATCTCTGCTCCAAGTTCAAAAGCAATGGAGGCCCTTAGATCTTTCCATTAGAGGCCATTGAAGTCGATTTGCGGAGATATATATAAGTTTTATCATTGAATATTGGTCTGAGAGGAAGTGAGGGGGTAAGGCCCATGATTTTTGGGTAAATAGGGAAGAAGATAAAGGTCAGTCTGAAATATTTTTGAGGGGTAAGCCGAATATTGTTTGTATTTATTAAGCCTTTTGGGTGCGTTTCATTCATAAGTAAAGGGGTTCTGCATTTCTCATCATCTCTTAGACTGGAAGGCTATTATGAAAGGAAGTATTCTTTTGGTAAGGATGACAATGGAGCATGCCGAAATTAATATTATCTATAAACCGTACTTTTGTGATACAGTTCTAGATTGTTCAAACTTTTCTTCATCCATGAACCGGAGGGATGCCGAACGTGCATGTTTGATATCGTCTTTTTGCATATTTATACCGACAACAGTACCAAATGAATTAAGTTCAATTGGCAAATCATATTTTTTTCTTAAATCACGACAGATTATAACATACGTTCTTTCTAATCCTTAAAATTGAAGTCTGAATCCAGTTATCATCTATATTAAGTTCAAACATTACGATTAGTTCTTAAAATTGTTGCAATAGTGATTTTGGATTGAATCCGAGAATCCACTCCCATATTACCTCGTGAAATTTGGGTTTTTTTTTGTCTTTAGATGTTGTTTGATTGTTTGAATTTTGTGCCGAGTCGCTAGCATTGTCATGGAAGTTAGAGTGTATGTGACACTAAGATCTAAATAACCAAGTACAGTGACCCAATTGAAATTATTTTCAAGTTTAAGGACCCAATTGTCATGGAAGTGAAATATCCTGGTATATATAAACCGAAAACGTCAAATGTGTTCAAAGCCCGCGACCTTGTTGACTCATCTGTTTAGTCTCGTCCTTTTCCCTTCTTCATATATGTACTGATTAAATTGTAGTGTAAAAGTAGGAAAATTTTGGAAAGACTGAAAGATGGGATGTTGTCAAAGTAAAGGTGCTGATTCCAAAGCCAATAGGATTGATTGCTGGATGGCGATCAACCGGCATTGTTTCCTCACGTGACGCCAAATTGAAGGCAAGCCAACTATCTTTTTTGGGTTCGGTTTCTTTAGGTGATGATGATTTCTGGGCTTATCTTACTTTGTTTGATTCAGTGTTGTTTCATAGTTTTACGGTAGATCACTTCCTTTATACAATTAGTTTTAAATACCATTTTCAGTATTTGAATCTACAGATTCTCGTTCGAGCTTGTTTGCTTGATAGTTTTGGAGAATTGAATACCCGATTTTGCATTCAGTCAAGCAGTTCGAAATATGTATTCTGTTTGTCATTTTTTTCATCAATTACAATTACTTTTTATTTCAATTTGGTCTGTTTCTTCTCAGTGGTAATAGTTCATTATATTTGATTTGGTCTGATTTACTGTTACTAGTTAAAAAATCTGCAATTACTCGGATAGAACTGAACTGAATTTTACTTTTATTCAACTTGGAATGATATAAAAAATATTTTTATCTTTAAATTAGTGGGAAAAACCTTAAGAATACTATATAAGTTACTTTTTAGGAAATAATTTAAAATCGATCTGAAATGATTGAATTTGGTTTGGGTTGGTTCAGATTTTAAAAAACCAAGATAAAACAACAGGTTAACAATAAATCAGGTATGACCTTTCTGAACTTAAGAACCCTTTTTTTTAATCTGGTGAAGTACATGGTATTATGTTCAAAGATAACTGTTAACCATTTGATATTGAACGCTCATACCCCTGACATTCTCTATGCTCGAACCCGAGACCTCAAGGAATAATAACAATTCCTTTCCACTGGGGTCGCTTGGTTCGTGCCTCAACTTAAGGACTTTAATTGTTAAAAAATACACTTTTAAAATGCTTAGTGAATCCTTAGTTTTTACCGTTATTAATCAATCTTTTCATTCCATGCAGTTGAAATTCCTATGGATATCAGCAAATTAGTCAACATGCAGCGTTTGGTAAGAATTATGCAAGTTTTGTTTGCAATGTTTATAGCTTCTTTTGACTCATAAACGTTGAATAATGTTGTTTTGATGTTGATGTAACGGCTTACTTCGTTCTTTTTGCGTCACTTTCACATTTTGGTCACTGTTTGCACATTCATAAGTTCCTGGGACACTAAATGTGCTGTTATATTTGGAAAATGCATTCGATTAAGATTTTTTATCGAGCATTTGTATGTCTTTGTTAGCATATTGGCTTTTTGTGATGGATGAAGTGATGTTAATTCTTTTCCTAAAATAAAGATGCTGAAAGCTTAGCTACCTTTTAAAGTATCTCTTCCTTCTTCCCCGCACAGATTTTAGCCTCTAATCTTATTGAGCGGCTACCAATTAATCTTGGGAAGCTTCAGTCTCTGAAAGTTATGATACTTGATGGGAATCGAATTACTACCTTGCCAGATGAATGTAATACCCTTTTCTAGATAAGTAAGAAAAATCTAATATATACCCATTTCTTTGCCTCCATCGTTTGTAGATTTGCTTCACGGCAGTGTCTGCAAATTTCACGGGGTATGTCACTGTTTCAGTGGCTTATAATTCTATTCTTCTGTCCAGTGGGCCAGCTGGTTAGACTTGAGAAGTTATTGATCTCTGGAAATATGTTAATGTCCTTGCCCGAGACTATTGGCAGTTTGCGCTATGTGACTCTACTTGTTGAATGATTAACCTTGTGGAACAGTTCTTGATAATTGGTTTCACACATAATTGCATCTTTGCCTGGCTTAAGCACCAGTAATACTAATAACCTCGAGATGAACCAAGTGATCATATTTTGATTTTTATGAGTAATTATATTGTCATATGTTAATGAAGAAAAAGAATGCCAAGAGGGATTAGACATTGCTTAATGTGTCTAACAACAAGTTGAAGTATCTTCCTAAATCAGTTGGGAGTTGCTTTTCTTTGGAAGAACTGCAAGCAAATGGTATGTTTATGCATGTAAATTTAACGGTTCTCACTTTTCTACTAAAACTGCTCGTCTGCTCTGAAAAGATCTCCTGTTAATTAAGTTTTTCGAATATCAGTTCGGTGTCCTGTTAGACGGTGTTTTGTCTTTGGTTTAGTAGGCATCATGGCTGGTTCTGAAAATCATCTGGTGTGTTTATCCGGAAAAGCTTCATACTTTAGTTGAGATATTTTTATGAGCTATATAAGATCCGGCCTTGGTCCTCCGGAGTTGGGATGCACACAGCATAGCCCGGCTAAAATAAATAGCTAGTGCGAGGTTTTCTGGTTGTCATTTAGTTGATAGGAGATGAAAGGGTTCGTGGCCAAGTCTGCACTCTGTATTTCACAGTTTTCACTTAGATTTGTAAATTGTAATTAATGACTATAATGGTTGTGGTGGTACACTTTCATGTATTTCTACAATACTTCTGTAACTTAAGGGTTTTATAACTTTGCGTAAATTTGCATCTGTTTGCAATTTTGTTCACTTGAAGTCACTTTGCTTAAACAATAACAAAGTCACCCAGGTAGTTAATACACTGTTCACACCATTTCTAACTTCACCTGCTGCACAACACTCGGTAGTGTGTGTGTAATTCTTTTCTTGCCCCTTGCATAATTGGTGCTGGTTACTCGAATTCTGGTGGAATGTCGAATGCAAGTACGTGTCCGACAAATTTTCGAATATGAGTACAGGGATATGACCTTCGAAAGATCCTCCAAATACCTGGATAAACCTACAAAATCTTGAGTATACTAATACCCAACACTTCATTAGCATGAAACTCCTTATGTGAATGCAGCTTTTACCAATATGAACGTAGGAACTATTGTAGATTCATGTTACTGAGTCTGAATATTAGGCTCTTTGGAATATCGCGCTGCATGACAATCCTATTTCAGTGGATCAGTTTCTCCATTACTCATATGGTTCAAGTTTTCTTTTGGGGGGGGGGGGTATACGAACCAACAAACTACATGTTCAGATGGAAGGGTTCCAAGAATTCGAAGGAAGAAGTTTGACAAGCAAATTGACTCGAATGTGATGATCAGATCGAAAGGCCTCGACGAGGGCGTTGATCTATAATTCTGCTGCATTCATACTTCTGGTAAGGTCGAGTCTTACAGCATTAAGCCATATGATTATTAATCTAGCTGATATGTATGGACATAGAGCTTATTGGCCTAATTAGGATTCCTTAATATTTTTATGACTTTATTTGTTAAGAGTTAATGATTATTAATGTATAAGTTTATTACATGATCACTTTTTTGTTTGTTTGTTTAATCTTCTTCATTTACAACATCAGAACATAAATCTTTAACATTATATTAAGAATCTATTGCATCTTCCTGTTAAATCAGTAAATCATTTATTAATATTTCATCTTTTACCCTAATCGCTTTGTATCTGACACCACCGCTATGATATAAACAACGGAGGAATTTTCAGACAATTTACTAAACATCGTACTAAAAATGCCGGCAAAGAGGGCTTTTTCTGCAAATAAAAGCCGGCTTTTCCCTCATTCATATATATATATATATATACTAAACTATGCAGGTAGTCTATGTTTTTAGTTTTCGACTTTGGTTGTAAATTTAAAAATCAAGGAGAATGGTTTCTAATGTTTTTGATATATTCGATTTTAATCCCTAACATCATTGATCTGTTCGATTTTAGTCTCTTGGTCATTAATTTTCGTTAACCCCTTTTGTTTAAGTCCCTAGCATAGATGAGGGACTAAAAATCGAATTGATTGATAATGTTAGGGATTATTTTACCTTAATTTTTAAATAAGTAACCAAAATCGGTCAGACCTTAAGAGACTATCTACATAGTTTACCCTATATATATATATGAAACTCGATTCATTTAATTCATGGAAATATTGTAACACCCCTAGTTCTATTTTATTGGATTTAAACTTATTTAATTATATTTTAGGAGCCAAATTGCAAATTTAAAAAATTTTGGGTCAACTTCATAGTTTCCAAGCATAGAGTCCCATGCTCCTACCACCTAGACTTGCCATTATTAATGATAAGATTTTAATCTTTATTTTATTTAATCGGTCCAA